CCCGCGACGGCGCGGCGGCTCTCGCGGCGCTTCGGCCCGCGGCTCGTAGCCCTGCGGTGCGCGTCGCCCGTGCCGCGGCGCTGCTGGGCCTACTTCGAGGTGCGCCTCGAGTGGGCGCGGGGCGCGGACGACGACGCGCGGCGCGGCGAGCCCGAGGCGCTCGTGGGCGTGGCGCCGGAGCGCGACGAGCCCCGGAATCGCCTCGCGTGCGGCGCCGCGCCCCACGCCGCGGCCTTCTCGAGCCTGGGCGGGCGCACGGTCGCGGGGACCTTCGCGCCCGGCGGCGGCTTCGCGCCCGGCGACGCCGTCGGCGTGCTCGTGCACCACGGCGCGGCGCGCGTCGACGTCGCGCTCCTCCGCGGCGACGGCGACGGCCGGCGCCTCGTCGCCCGCGACGGCTTCGCGCCGCCGCCGGGCGACGGCCGGCTCCACGCGACCCTGGCCCTCGGCTCCCGGGACGTCGTCGCGCGCGGCGTCTTCGACGCGGCCGAGCTCCCGCCGCGGCCCGTCGTCGCCGCCGCCGCGGCGCTGCCGGACTACGCCGCGGTCTACGCCCTCGACGGCGTCCGCCTCGGCGAAAAGGCGCGACGACCCGATGGCGCGAGACGACGGTAGCCAGCTTAAAAACTTCGACAACGGTAAGCTAGCTTAGGACGTCGCCCAGGGGAACCATGTTCCGCGGCGCGGGCCGGGCCGCCGCCGCCGCGGCGTCGAGCGCGGCCCGCAGCGCGACTTCGCCGTCCGAGGGGACCGCGATGCGTTGGCGGGCGTACCAGGGCGCCCGGGAGCCCGCGACGGCCGCGCCGCCGACGTTGAGGCGCGCGAGCCACTTGGGGTGGTAGGCCGGCGCCTGCAGCAGCGCCTCGGAGACGAGCGCGAGGTTCGTGTCGTCGACGTAGTTCATGCTCACGGCGACGGTCACGGCGTCGGCGTTGCGCACCTGGTGGGGGAAGTTCGCCGGCACGAAGACGACATCGCCCGCGCGCGCCTCGCCGGCCCACGCGGCCCCGGCGGCGCCGTCGTCGAACGCGTCCACGGGCGCGGCGCCGAAGCCGTCGTCGCAGCTCGCCGCCGCCGCCGCGGCCTCGCCGAAGATGCCCGAGCACCGCGCGTCCCGGAAGAAGGCGCGGCGCCAGTCGTCGTCCGCCGGGAACAGCGCGGGCCAGGCGCCGGCCTCGAAGACGCGGTAGGTCTTCGCGCCGCTGTGGACGTGCTGCCAAAAGTGCGTCGCGCCGCTGTCGACGTGCAAGCCGCCGCCGCCGCCGCCGAAGCTCACGAAGACGGACGGCCCGTAGGACGTCAGCGCGCGCGCCGCGAAGTGGGGCACGCCCACGGCCTCCAAGAGCGCCGGGCAGCCCGTGCCGAGCGGCACGTCGAAGAGCACCGCGTCCGCGGGTTCCGCCGCGAGGAAGTCGCCGAACGGCACGGCCGCGCCGTCCTCCATGCCCGCCCAGGCCGACGACCCCGCGACGCGGCGCCGCGGGCGCACGAGTTCGGCGCCGCACGCGGCGGCGAGCGCGTCCAGGGTGAAGTTGCGCCGCGCGTCGTAGCCCTCGACGATCCACGGAGTGGAAGTGTCGAGGCCGCCCGCGGGGACGTCCTCCCAGCGCACGCGCGGGATGGCCCGCGGCGGGCCGGGCGCCCGCGACGCCCGGCGCCGCGCGTCCGCGCGCGCGCGATCGAGGCGCAGCTGCGCGTCGCGGCTCGCGACCGTGCGCGCCTCGAGGTCGTCGTCGGCGTAGAGGCGGCGGCCGAGCGTCCGCGCTGCGCGGTCGAACGCCGCGCTCGCGGCGGCGAGGTCGCCGAGCGCGACCTCGGCCCGGCCGAGCCACTGCCACGCGAAGCTGTCGTCGCCGTCGAGCGCGCCGAGCGCGCGGAACGCGGCCGCGGCGGCGCCGTAGTCGCCCGCGGCGACGCCGTCGAAGGCCGCGGCGGTCCAGCAGGTCGCGTCGTCTCCGTCGCAGGCGTCCTCCTCGACGATCGCGTGCGCCGAGGACCGCGCGGCGACGACCGACGCGGCGACGGCGACGACGGCGACGACGCCCGCGGGCACGGCCCAGCCGCGCGGCTGCTGCTGCTGCCTGGGTGCGCTCGCAGCGTTGGCGCCCTTCTTGCGAGCCATATCGCGGGTTCAGATGCTCGTGCTCTGCAGCGCGAAGACGCCGTCGGAGCGTTGCGATCTGTCGGAGCGTTGCGATCTATTCGGAGCAATGCTAGGGCGCGAGCGCTGGACCGCGCATTGTCGCAGCCATGCTGCTCCACAGGCTCACTGGTTGCGAGTTGCAGTGGATACCCCGTCGCTTGAACTATTGCAAGCCAAGACAAACTTTGAAGAAATCCTAGCTTCTAGAGGGCTAGAGACGGTGTCTCCGCTGGAGTATTCAGCGGCCGATGATGGAATCTCCACCTTAGAGGGGCCCGCGCTCCTCGAATATGCAGCGACGTGCAACGATCCCAGTGGCTTTGAGGTCCGCAAACATGTGGGTGAGGCACATGAAAAGACGCGACATCCGGACGATTGCGAGGCGACGCANACGGGCAGCCTCAGGGGGTGGAATGAGGCGCGGCAGCTTCCCCCGACCCGATNTTCGGTCCCCTTCGAGTCACAGAGCGTCGGGAATCGTTCGTCATGGGAGCGACCAGATGCCCTCGCGGCAGCTCTTCGACTCGAGCCGATNTGATCGAGATCACCTCACCGGC